ATCGTGATTTCCATAGTCGCCGTGAACCGTGATTTTCCAAAACGTTCTCTTTTATTTTCCATGAAGCATGAAATGCCAATGTTGTATTTTTCATGAATTGTGAAAGGGCTGCTTTATTTTCCGTGAAACGTGATCTGTACCCCCCTTTACCACCCTCTATTCAGGGAGTAATCCTCTGCGTCATTTCAAAATCAGATGAGTTCAAAGTGCGAGGCTGATTTTAAATTATAAGCACAATTACTCCCTGAATTGTATGACATGAGGTCCAATTGCTAAGTAATCCAATCTATAACAAATTTCAAAATTAAAAACAGTCTTTTGAGAACTTCTTATTTGCAAAAAAGTCAACAGCACTTTCCATAAGCTTTAAAAACTACAGGAAACATTAAGAAGAAAGCCATTAAAGCAATTGTATAATTGACATAGTTGATAGAAAGTTGTAATTGGATACCAGTAATTGGACACCCACATGATTGGGCATCGCTTACGTGACAATTAGGTACACAGAGAACCCATCGCGATCAAGAATTTTGAACATTATAGATCTGATTATAGATTAGATATTTACCTTTTGTCACTTGCACTATGTCACACTATGGAAATTCTGTAAGACTAGCTCTAAGGTGATTGTACAATATTACATGACAAGCTCTGTTAGAATAGCAGTCACTAAACAAAGAAGCTCACAGAAATGCAAAACATTCCAGCCAAATTTGAGTCTTTTAGTAGTCTGTAACAAGTTGGCTACCATTACATGTAGTCTCAAGGCTCTGTGTTGTGACCATGCATCTTTTTGTAGAGAAGATGAGATAGATAAGGGTACAGAGTTGACGGCAGCCCTGGTAAATACGTCAGTTGATTTAAAGTTCTTCCCTGATGCACCATTAGAAGCAGAAAACAGAGTGAGTTTTTCAAGACCATTTTTACATGTATTTCTTGTATAGATATTTGTAATTAATGGTCGTTTAATTTAAAGTGGAGATCCTGCATGCCAAAGGCACCTGATGACCGTATTTCCATCTGTCTGTCCGTACATCCATACGTTCATACCTACATACAACATGTATGTACACCCCTTTATGTAAATCAATTTGAAATGTCACTCTGCAACGGGGCTTTTCCCTTAGAGATTAGGAGGCGTGGGTTTACAGTGTTCATCTTTAATATTGGGCATCTTGGACATCACCTGTCAAAACAAGGTATCCGTTGACCAATATTACAGGACCACATCGTAGGCTTATGTTTATAGCTTATCACAGTCATGTTTTTTTTATTTAACTTAACCCCTGCCCAGGTACAGGTTTTCGATTGGATCACAGGCTCAAGCCAGGGTAACTTATTGTAATCGGGAGCTCCGCTTTTAGGCTTGGCGAAATCTATATACCGTATTGAATATTTACATGACTGTGTAATTACATGTATCAGTAATTTGTCTTAAAAATACTTTCTAACTTGAATACATTCTACATTGGACACTAAAAGAGGGATAATGTGTAAATGGTCAATTTGGCCAGAAAACATGTTATGAACAATTGGAATTTTT